TCGTATAGAAACAGAGTGGGGCTGAAATCTTGTAATCTCTGATTTTACACATAGTGAAAACTTTCGCCGGATCTCAACCGTGGACGTAGGCTGTTGTCGAGTCACGTACAAATTTTTGTGTTATTTGTGTGGTGTGTTTACTTTTCTGTCGTGATTCTTTATTCAACTTGGGTTCGTTGCGTTTGTCATAACAAACTAGTATCAGAGCTTTCGGTTTGAAGCAGGGATGTCGTCCAAGTTTTTGGAAATCGAGAAGTTTAACGGCAGAAACAATTTCAACTTGTGGCGGGTTAGGATGTAGGATTTGTTGGTTCAACAAAGGTTATTCAAGGCGTTGAAGGGGAATGATGCACTGCCAGAAAAGATCAAGGACAAAGATGAAGTTATGGAGAAAGCACACAGGACGATTTTGTTGTGCTTGAGTAACTTGGTTCTGCGAGAGGTTGTTGGAGAGACTACGGTGGATAGGCTGTGGCAGAAGTTGGAGTCCCGGTATATGACGAAATCTTTTGTGAATCGCTTGTATCTAAAGAAGCGGTTGCTTACTCTTCAGATCCACGAAGGGTCATCTTTGAAAGACCATCTTGATGAGGTAAATCGTATCATCATAGATTTGAATAATATTGATGTCAAGATAGAGGATGAAGATTAGGCTCCACGAAGGGTCATCTTTGAAAGACCATCTTGATGAGGTAAATCGTATCATCATAGATTTGAATAATATTGATGTCAAGATAGAGGATGAAGATTAGGCTATTATTCGGTTGTGTTCTCAACCACCCTCGTATGAGAACTTTGTCGATACAATGATGTATGGCAGAATTGCCTTGTCTATGGAAGACATGAAGGCAGCTCTGAATTCTAAGGAGTTGTAGAAAAGGGCGTTTGAGGGCAATATATAAAGTTCGGCAGAGGGATTATTTGTTAGAGGGAGGACAAATCAAAAGGGAGGGTTTGGCAGTAAAGGTCGTTTTAAGTCTAAGAACAAAACGAAGGTGTTGAGATGCTTCATCTGTCACAAGGAAGGGCACTTCAAAAAGGATTGTCTGAAGTGTAAGAAGGGAAAGGTAAAATCCTCTGAAATTGAAAGTGTGGCTTTTGCAGAGGGTAATGATTCAGATGGTGGTAATGTTCTTACAATTTCAGTTGGCAGCTCTTGTGATGAGTGGATTCTTGATTCGGGTTGCTCGTTTCATGCTTGTCCAAACAGGGACTGGTTTACCTCTTATCGATCTATTGATGGAGGGAAAGTTCTGATGGGGAATGATGCGGCGTGCAAGGTTGTAGGTATCGGTACAGTTCGAATCAAGATGTATGACAGCATAGTGAGGACACTAACTGATGTCAGGCATGTACCAGAATTGAGAGAATTGGTATCAGAGCCAAAGGTGAAGGAGATCCAGAAGACACAAGAAGTCTCAACATGTGCTGTAACGGGCTTCAATTGTAGGTGGAGTCAATCGGCTTGGTTACATGGCCTGGAGCTTGAGTAGTCAAGGTGGATCCTTGGAGGTTTGACTGATCGAGCAACATATAATGTGGACAATCAGAGTTTTGCAGGAGTATCGACAAGATTGAAGCTGCAAAAGAATTGTTCTGATCAATGCGCCGTGGAAGTGATGATTGGCTCAGTGGAATTTGAGCCAAGGTGGAGATTGTTGGGATTTGTGTCTCAATTCCTACTCCAATTATGTTTCCATTTTAGAGTTGTATTCAGTTAGGTAATTTCTTGTTTGGCAAGTCTTGGCCTCTAAGGAATTGTAATCCTTGTCCAACAAGGTATTGGGTTTGGAACTCTATAAATAGATACATAGGCTTTGGGTTGAGACTTATGAGATTGAGAGAGATGTAGTCTCATGAGAGAGTTGATGGGTAGAGGTAGTATACGGGTTGGTAGAGTAGGAAAAACACCAATGACACTAGTAGCGAGGAGATAGGCTTGTGGAGTGGTACATGGTGAAAAAACATGTATGTAGTGTTGGTACTCTATTGTTGTAATATCTATACGAATCATAATGGAATCTCTTCTCATCCATGGATGTAGGCCGATTTTAGCTGAACCATGTATATCTTGTGTTTGTGTGTGATTGCTTTGTTGGCTTTTATTGGATTTTTGTGTTTCGCGCACTTCCGTTGCCCCAACAATTAGTAATTGTATATCATAAGAAGCATAGACACTTCTATAAAGGAGACATCTCGGTGTCAGACACCTTGTTAGGCACAACACTCCATGGGAACTTTATGGAGACATGTTTGATACTTCATGGACGTGTCCATATTTCAAAAATATATTTATTAATTTGAATACTTGGCTGACACACCTTACACTCTCCAATAGTCTTATATAATACAAACACAACCTTGAGAACAATACAAATATAGTTCTAATTGTCTAACCTTATTTTCTTTTAGGGTAAAGTACAGCCACACCCCCTGAGGTTTGGTAAAAGAACTTACCTGTTTTTTGGACAAAGATATCCCTTGAAGGTTCAAAAATGGACAAAGACACTCCTTTACATGAAAAATTAACCAAATTACTCTTTGACCATTTAGGACACTTTTTTAACTTTACAATTTAATAAATTGGACCAATATACCCTTATGAATAATTTATGCATAAAAAAAAAAAGTAAAAAAAAAACTTTATATTGTTCATTTTTTTTTTTTTTTTTACTTTATTAATGTCCCAACTTCTTAAAAATGTAGACGTCTAAAATGATTTTTTGATTCAATACATATATGTCAAATAAATTATATTTTGTTATTACTTCTTTTCTTTTTGTTTTTTATTTTTAAATTAAGATACTTAATTCTTTCATCTAAAAAAATTAAATCAATCTATTTTCCTTAAAAATAAAAAATATGGTACCAGTATAACTTTATGCATCTTAAATTATATATCAAATATTATGCATTTCCCAACATAAAAGAAAGGGAAAAGCGGATCCCCATGCCTCAACCCCCTCGAGCTGCCAAAAAAGCCCGTCAGGGCACCATTCACGAGGACCGAAAGTCTAGCACTGGAAATGCAGAACTCAATCCATTTTTTGCATCTCTTCCCAAACCCATTTGCTAAAGAAGAGAGAAGAAAGCTCCAAGTGACGTGAATACAAGTCTTCTCTATGTCCAGTTTGCATAACACTGGGACCCACTGCACAATCTAGAATCAACACATTCGTCTGCAATAAGAATTGAATCCAAAATTTGACGTCCACCAACAAAAGCATTTTGAGAGTTTGAATGATCCCATCCAAGACCTTCCTCAATCTTAGAGCCAAAACCTTATAAATTAATTTGTAGATGCATCCCACCAATGTAATAGTTCTAAAGTTCACATTTTTTTTTTTCACTCCACCCTTCTTAGAAATAAGAGCAATAAATGTTGTATTCAAGCTCTTCTCAAAACACCTGAGAATGAAAGCATGGAAAGGTTTCATCACCTCCCCTTTAACTACCACCCAACTCTCTAGAAGAAATCTCAAGAAGAGATTAGTGTATTATTGTCTAATTTTAATTATGAAACGCGAGTTGTTTATTATATATTTAAGATGAAATAAATAAATAAATATATGAATTTGCTTGTAAAGGGAGACGTGTGTGGTAACAGGTGTACCTAAAAGCTTCTAAGAGAAGCTTCGTACTTTGACCAAAAGTATTCTTTACATAGGTATAGAGTAAAATGAAAAGGAGATTCAATTTGAGAGAGAGGTTTCCCACCACCACTTTTTTTATTTGCTTAAAAATGTTGTTTATTTAAAAGCTTAGAGATTATTTTGATTCATCATATGTGAAAATTCCTCGATTTGTCATATGTGAAGGCATGATTCTATGTTATCGAATTTTTAATCAACAACAAAAGGGTTGAAATTTTTGAACTTGAAGTATAGTTTTGTGATGAAATTCTAAACATTATGATTTATGGCTGAAATTTACATGATTTAGACTAGTTAATTGATATTGAGATTTTGACAATGATTTTAATTATGAAATGCGAGAGTTGTTTATTATATATTTAAGGTGATAATAAATAAATAAATATATGAATTTACTTGTAAAGGGAGACGTGTGTGGTAACTGGTGTACCTAAAAGCTTCTAAGAGAAGCTTCGTACTTTGACCAAAAGTATTCTTTACAAAGGTATAGAGTAAAATGAAAAGGAGATTCAATTTGAGAGATAGGTTTCCCACCACCACTTTTTCTATTTGCTTAAATATGTTGTTTATTTAAAAGCTTAGAGATTATTTTGATTCTTCATATGTGGAAGTATGATTCTATTTTCAAATTCCTCGATTTGTCATATGTGAAGGCATGATTCTATGTTATTGAATTTTTCATCAACAACAAAAGGGTTGAAACACGTATGAATTTCCCTGTTGGAATTATATATTTACTTTAAAGTACCAATTGATTTAGTTGATACAATATGAATTAATATTCTTTATTCTATAAATTTTCGAAGATAGATGGTTTTTGCTGGAAATTTTGAGATTAGCATACTTTTGGGTGATTTTCTTGTATAATCATAGTTTGATTTGTGTGTTTTTTTAACTAAACACGTATAGGAATCTCTAGAATAGGGTAAACTGTTTGATTTGCTATGATATTTTGTATTCTCAAATATTAAATAACACATTTCACATCTTTCCTTAAGGTACCCTTAAACTTTTAAAAAATTTCAAACTTGATTATGTAGGGGAAAATGCGATAATTACAGGCCCTCTTAAAAAATTATAGTCCCCAAAAGGGACATTTAATATGGGACGAAGGGAGTATTAATTAATGTTGTTTGTGGAGATGAGTTGAGTTTTATGAGTTTGGATTGCTAGTGATTTGAAATGAGTTTTATGGAGTTTGGATTACAAGTGATTTGAAATGGTATGTTTTGCGGAGTACTATGTTCAGTTCATGGTTCGAAATTTCCCAGTTATCCTTTTCCTAAAATTTATAGAAAGAAGTTCATACTGGGCTCTTTTAACTCACTATTTCCTAAAACGTTTCAGGTCCTGCCGGTGGTGAACAAATACATGTCACATGAGTTGATGGGGAATAATATTTTGTACTAATTGATGTGTTTAGAGTTTGGGTTATGTAAATATTAAAGTATCCTGAAGTGGAGATGGTGGATCCTTCTTTTTGTAACATGTAACGTATGAAGTTCCAAATGTTTTCAAGTATAAATGTTCATATGAGCAGGCAGTTCCAGCAATAATACCCTAGTACCCTTTTATATATGACTTATGTGAGAGAATTTTAATTTAAATGACCAATCAATGAATTTTGTCATTATTTTCCAGCACCAAGCACATCATCATTCGATCATCAAAATATCACCCTTTTGAAAGGTTTTTCAAGTTAAAAATAAAAATTAACAAACTTTAGACATGCACCCATTTGATTCATCAAAAATAAGAGTTGCAATTTGCAATACTAAAAAAGGCTCGTTTCTTTCTCACACAAGCACAAACCCAATGCTAAAATTAAAATCATTGGTTCTGTTCAATGCAATAAGTATTATATACATAAATACATTGATATCAAATTCTACATATATAAGCCTGAATTTCAATACCTCCGCCTATTAAACTAGGATCCGCGTAGTGCATTGTATAATTAAGCTGCTCCAGATTCTCCTCTGTGATTGTCCCAAAATCAATAATCTTCGGTTCACCATCCTGATCATTATAACAAGAGTGTCAATCTAATAATAAACAAACAAAAAAGTATTGAACTGTAAAATTTTAATTTTTCTACAACAGCGTATTGGATCAAGAGTAATTCTAGATCTCAAACCCCAATTTTTTGCCTAGTTTTTTCATCTTGTCTTTGACCTGCTATTCGGCATCTTTTTTATTATTCATGGCATTTTATGTTTAGTTTGGCTCTCATCCTAGAAGGTTTAGAAGAGATCTCAAAAAATGTAGTTATCTTGAGTCTGAAACGGGTCTGGCTTACAAACAAAATAAGCAATGGTACTAATATTGCTGCGCACTACAATGGCCATGACAAAACAGAATATGCAAGATTTTCATGAAAGAAACAAAAAAGAAATGTTTTGATTAGAGCTTTAGCAGATGAAGAAATGCATGAGTAAAAATATTACAAGTAAATGGAACTAGAGAACAAGGAAAATCACAGAGAGGTCTGAGTCACATTCCGAATCAGTGAATACAGGCTTAGGGCAGATAATGTTGGGGACGATGTCCCAACATTATCAACTAGGAAAAAAAATGTTGGGGAAGATTTCCCATAAAAAACTATAAAAGACAAGAAAAAAAGAGTAGTCTGTTGAGTTCCCTGGAAGGGCTTTGAGGCAACGTTGGTTGCCCCCTCTCCCCTATGTTAGTGACTTTAGTTGCTAAATCTTTTCTCCACCAGGAGAGATTCATGCAGGGTAATCTGAGAGAATGATACCCAGACAGAACTTGAAGAACGAATGAAATCGTTGCATTGATACTTTTCTATAAAAAGCGCACTTCAACCACCTAATGCATGTGAACATTTTTAATTCCACCATTTCATGTCTTGCAGCGCTCCCATCTCAAACATCCACATTTCTGCATCATTTTATGCATACCCCTAACATTCTGTCCATAAAAAAATGGTAAGTGTCAATAGTTGCTTTATAGTGTTTCAGAGATTATATATGTAGGAAGGTAATGAACAGAGAAAGACGTTCTTCCTTTAATTATTTTATTTGATATTTTTTCATTACTAATGGAATATCCTTCACTATTTTACTGCAAATGGTTGAGAGAGAAATTTGTTTAGGGAAACTTGGGCCCTTAGAGGATCACACAATATTCCAAACCCATTCCTCCATTTAACCATTCCACCTCTATTCTCCGATTAGTATCTCTAATTTGTCCTTTGTGTGCAATCGAGTATAAATAGTAGAAATGCTCACTTTTGATATCTCTTGATCTTCGATCTTCACTGCATTGCTAATTGTTTTTTTATATCCATATTTAAAAAAATGTACAATCTACATATTTATTATATTCCTACTTCTTAATCGTTTTACTTTCCAAATTTGCACTACACCTCTTCTCTATCTTCATCAATTAAAACTATCTTTAAAATGTAAGTTAGCTACCAAAAAGGAAAAGAGAAAAATCACTGACCTCCTGCAAGACAATGTTTTCTGGCTTCAAATCGCCATACATAAGAATTTGAGGTCGATAACTGTGTATGTGCAGCAAACCGTTTGCTACACCTCTTAAAACCCTCAACACCCCCTCCCAGTTCAACCCTGCGAGTAAATAACAATAATATAAAGGCTGAATTTGTATTGGACAGAAAACTGCACACGAGACAACTATATAAAAGACGCATGGATCCAAGATCAATCAATAAGTTACATCAATAACCTTCTGAATATAGATCTATTCTCTTAACATTTTCACTGTTAAATAAACTAGACAGTTCAGGAAGTAGCATATTAAAAAACTCGACTCTCTTTTGAAAGAGCTGTGATAAACTGGTCTTCAACAGCTGCTTCAAAAACCATTGAAGACAGTGTACTGATCAATGTATCTGAAACATCATCTTCCTTAGAATAATAAACCACTCAAAGGAAGTTCAACATTTCAGCTTTTAAATGGACATTTAGTGGCAAAACTGGTCAACAGAACTAGATTATATGCCAAAGAAAAACCTGCAAAGCACGATCACAACATCAATTTGGGGTTATCAGGATCAAATTGTAGATCGGGTCTAGAATCATTGATTCCACAAAATGAGAAGTATAATGTGTATTGATTTTTGAGCAATAATAATTCTAAAAGAATACATGGGAAAAAAAGGATCTAGACAATACTTGGAACTCGAAAACCCCCAAAAGTTATCCCTAATAATTTTGCAGCACATTATGGTCACACATAAGCAAATTATTAGCTAAAAAATGTTTAATTCAAATAAAACATATCCCATCATGTTAGAATATCGAATTAAATAAATAAGATTTACGAGTCATCATTTATATTTTTACAAAAACTCTTCACAGCAAAAAAAAAAAAATCTAATTTTAAATATTCAAATACTCATCCGAAAGATACTAGAAGAGAGCGTATAACATATAACATAGGGAGAAAGTGAAAAGTAAAAACTGAAGAATCGTGTAGATAAAAGATTGACTTATTTTGAAGTAAACGTGGTGAGCTTTATAGACAAAGAGATGGAGATCCAATTCAATGACCTGAAGTGTTGGTTGAAGCAAAAATCACATATCCTAGAAAAAATAACCATCCAAAAGAAAAAAAGTAAAGTATAAAAGAAAAAAGGAAAAGAATCTCGAAGTTATACTACTACAAAGAAATTAAGAGATCCTATTAATTCCTTAACCCGCCCCAACGCCCGCCCACCACACACACACAAAAAGAGAGAGAGAGAGAAATATGACTTTAAATGGAACTATCATCCTACAGAATTCAAAACTAAAATTGATTTTATCTCATGGTACAAGTATGGCAGTCAGATTAATGATTGTGATGGTGGTAGTATTAGAATGGATATAGAGAGCATCTATTATTGGATGTGTTTGAGTAAATGTTGTGACGAATCCCAACAAAGTACAAAATCAAATTTAAATACTGATCCTAGTTGAACTCCTAACTAATTCTATAGTATTCTTGGCACATGGCAGAAGCTCACCTCTTCTACGATCTTCCAAGGAGTGTTCGGACACATACTCATAAACAATATAAAATGTGTTGCTTGCGGGATCCTCGCAGTATCCAACCAGGGTGACTATATTGGGATGAATCAGCAGTGGTAGCCAAGTCACCTCAGCCTGCAAAAAAGAATAGAAAACAAATAGGTAGTCATTTATGTTATTTAACACTTATAATTGAAAGTGCCTAAATCAACAAACCTGCCACATCGCCCTACGGTTGCCAGTGTTTTCATCAGATATCACCTTCACGGCAACTTCTTGCTCATTTAGATTATGAGCATTTGGGGTATGGATCCTCCCCCTATACACAGTTGAGGTGCCACCACCGCCGAGTATCTGGTCAAAATTAGTCATGCCATTGATCTCATCCAACGAGAACTCGATGGCCATCTCCTAGAAAACCAAAAAGTAAAATTAAAAAATAAATATATAGAGTATTGGAGAAAACTAACAATTTTATGATTTATTAGTCAAGCAAGTAATATATAGCAACATTCAATTAAGCAATTAACTTTCACCCGGCTATAATCACTCTTAACTGTCTGATTTTTTTTTTTTTATAAAAAAACTAATGGTAAGAAGACGTCCTACTCCTACAAGAAATTTCAAAGATACCCTCCACCATTAAGTTGGCCATGCTGATGTAAAGAGCCCTAAAAGGACAAAAAAGCACTTAAGGAGTTTCCTACAAAAGGAAGGTGAATTAAAGAAGTATTTTCGAGTGACGATGATATAATTTGTCTTAACAGACATGTGGCTATTGGTATCTCCTCTCCTTTCAAAATGAAAGGCCGAGGGTTCAATATTGTGGGAATTCTTTGCGAAGGAAAAAATGATACAATTTTCCTAAATAAGATGGACCATTCTTTAACCAAAAAATAAAAATTAAAATAATGCTAAGATAAGTAAAGATGTATTAGAAAGCATTCAAAAGGGGAACGCATCCCTAAGACAGCTTATTGGTAATCAAATATGTGGCGGGGAGCCTAAGAGTTCTAAAATACCATGAACTAGAAAAAGAGGATATATTATCAATTAAGTGTAGAGAAACTTCAAATTTAAATGTTTATGTGGTAAACATAAATAAATAGAGAGAGAGAGAGAGAGAGAGAGAGAGAGAGAGAGAGAGAGCATACGAGATAAAGGTGGATTGCCGCTGGAAGTCTGGGATCGCAGTTGCACTCGCAACCTAGAGAGAGCCCTATATCGTCAATTAATTTTTTAGATGTGATTTAGAAATCGTCATTCGAATCAATGAAATTAAATGGTTCACATCCACACATTTAATTTTCCAGCACATTTCACACTTCTATCAGTGAACATTTTAATACTAATCCTGTTCAAATTGTTAATGCTAAGAAGACACACAATTTGGCCACAGCTAGGGCAACCAAAAAAGCCCTAAATTGTTAACAGAAGAAGAAGAAGAAGAGGAGGAGGAGGAGGGGAGAGAGAGAGAGAGCATACCAGAGAAGGTGGATTGCTGCTGGAAGCCTGGGATCGCTGTCTCACTCGCACGCTAGAGAGAGAGCCCTCGTCTTCTCCTATATGAATAGCACCTAAAACATTAAATAGACTCACTCATAGAACACCTTTGGAACATTGCATTATTTATGGTACATGTGCAGTGAATGCAGTTTCAAATGGAGCGAATTGAAGCAATGAAAAGGGTCTTTAAATTTTAGTTCCACCAAAACAAAAATTATCTATTGTCCTAAAATTAAAAGACTAACCAAGTACATAACTGCATATTCTGGCTATGTAAGCTGCTGAGAGGTGAAGAGTGAACCATCTAAAGTCGAAATAGCAGTATTTTTTTGTGATATTTGATTCTAATTCTTTAACACCAGTATTCAAATAGAGAACCTGGCACTGGGTTGCTTGCAGTGAAACAAGTCCACCGTGTGACACTCTCCTAAGGTGCAAAGAGGGGTTGAAGCTTTCAGACCAAAAGCCACCAATTGAAACTAAAAACTTGACTTTGTTCTAGTTGTTTTATAACAAAAGAGGATCATTACCACCCTTGAGTTTGACAGTAACTTAGGTCGGTGCTAACCAAAAAAAAACAGAATTGAAAATTCATTACAGCAATATCTTTGAATCCATTTTTGTGCAGCAGTACCCTTGTAAATTTCAATTAAGTGTATTAAAATGTTATGTTCTTATAATTGAGTGTGTGTTTTATTATTATTTATTTATTTTGGTGAAGCATAGTCATGCACTCATGCATGTATATGAAGAAAGATAAAACGGATTGCAAAACCTCATGGCCGATGACAAAAGGCAGAATTCCATTTCACGAGGCATATTGTACATAGTAATATGATTTTTTTTTTTTTTTTTTTTTTTTTTTTTTTTTTTTTTTTTTTCTCAAATCCTCTCAACCATACTAATTATATGAACAAATTTTTTCAATTGCCACACACAATGTGGAAGTCAGTATTTCGTATAACAAAGATTCCCATTCTCATTGATATGAGACCTTTGTTGCATGCAACTTCCGTGAAAGATCAACAGCAGCTAATCAGCAGTAGTTAAATTATCACTAATGTTCAATTCTGCATCATAGTATATGATTACATGATGCTGGCAGCCATAGACTATAAGGGACGGAAAAGTGTCATTGATCTGTTGGTTGGCACGAAGAGGAAGAAACATGTACGTTTCTTCTTTAGAAGAATTGAATGTTGTGGTGCTCTATGCCTCTATTACGAATTTATTAGATCATTTTAGAATTTATTTTGATTTTGTCTATTTGAACAGCAAGAACAGAATACCCATTGAAACACAAAAACATAGAGAGAAAGATTTTTGCCCATTGAAATTAAGATTTTTGCCAACTTACCAAGAAAACAGAAAACAATCAAAAAAGAGAGAATCTATTCAGATTTAGGGTTTACAATTTTAGATTTAGATAGAGATAGAAGATTAGGGTTTATATATGTAAAAGATATGAAGAGAGAAAGACATAATCGAATATAGAGGAAAAATTGACAAACGGGAAGAGATATACCAACGAACCAACAAGAAAATAAATTTTAATGCAATGTTTTCCTCTTCAATTTTTGCAAAATCATAAGAACCCATCTATCTTCAAAAACATAATATATTAGTTACTAATTGACTACCACAAAGGTGTATTGATTATATTTCTTGATTCAAGGAAGAAGTTGGTTCAGATGATCTCTGCTGCACCTACAAGCTATAACCCGGTTTGTGGGAAATATCACAGAGACCATGAAACAAGAACTTGGGAATTTAAAACCGGATTGGGTAGCGAATTGATTATGTTGGTTCCATGATGCAAGCTTACTCCCATTATCTCTAATCTATGGACTCAATGGCCAACGGGAGAAAATTGCTTTGTTTAGGCCACACTGGTTGTTTTCACTAGAGGTGTTTGTGTCCAATTGATGCTTCTAAAGGAATCAATGTTGGACTTAATGGATCCTTAGCAAGTCATTCAAGAATTGGTCATTGAGGGGCTTTGAAGAGCGAAAAACTCAGTATGGTGGGCAAGTTAAGTGGTTGTGAGGTTATTCTTACTTCAGCCCATGAAAGGTGATTTTTTGGTACAATGGAAATTGAAAGTAAGTGGCAAGTTAAGTGGTTTTGAGGTTATTCTTATATATATATGCTCAATACATTGCATAAAGCCATGTCCTTGCAAATTGAAAGTAAAATTCCATTCTTACAAAGAAATAAGAAAGAATTGAAGTAGAAACAGAGAAAAATTCTGTGAATGTCAATAACAATGAGGTTCTTTCACAATTAGTCTCCAATATTCATATACCAACAGCTTGAAAAGAATAACAAGAAACCCAAGAAACGAACAAAAAAACCTTTATACATACACACACACATATGACATATACATACAAATACATATATAATACAAGAACTACTAATATCTACAAAAGATGAACACACTGAGATTATCTGAGATCCATACTCTTCTCTCTTTTTTTTCGTTGAACAAAAGTTTCCTCAATCGTTCAGAAAATAAGCATAAAGATCTAAAGAGAAAAACAGAGACCTGCATGTATAAAGAGTTAGAGAAAGACATACATACCGATACTCAAGTGAGAGACTGGGTTTTGAAACCGCGTGCGTCGAAATTAATGGCGTAGAGACGATGCAATGCTAACTGGTAGAGAGAGAGAGAGAGAGTTTTAGAGAGAGAAAGAAAAAGTGAAAGAGGGGAAGCACAGAAGAAGCGTGGTAAAGGAGGAGAGGAGGGGTTTGTGCTATGTAATATGTTTGGCTACTTAGAAGACATTACATGTATAATTACATATTTGAGTTTTTTCAGCAAAATTACCGATCTGAGAAGAGAGAGATAGATATATATATATATATGAGGATGAGAGGGGAAGAGAAAATACAGATCTGAGAAGAGAGAATTTAACCGGTCGGTGTTCGTCGCCTTTAAGCGCCGGTCGCCGTCGATAATCGCCGGTCGTTGCAGATGAGAGGGAGAGAGAGACGACAGGGCAACGAAAGGGACAGATAGAATGCAACGAAAGATGGGATTGAGGGAGAGAGATACGAAACGGCGTCGTGCAGAGAAATAACAAATTTGCCAAAAAAAATTGCTAGCTGCTATATTTGAGATGAGATTTGAGAATCTCAAAAATTGATAGCCCATATGAGAGTACATTGGGAGCCCATTTTTTACCCACCACTTATATTTTGAGTTCCTCTTAGTTCTTGAAATCTATCGCAATTATGGTGCTTAGTTCATGGGTTAACCTGTTAGATTCAACTGTGGTTGTTTAAACGAAGTGCTTGTTCAAATCCTTGAATCTTGATCGATCTACCTCAAGAGAGGGGGAATCGAGAAAGAAGAAGTTTTAATTTTTCAGAAAAAATTGTGAAGGATGACGTGAATTTACTACATTAGAGTCGGATGATTTTCGGTCTTCAAAAATCGGACCAAGTATCATTATTCTTTGAACAAGAATAATGCCTCAACCTCAAACTTCAAATTTCTCTTACTTTTATTAAATCTATTTTACTCTTATACATATTAGTATTATCATATTATTTATTGTGTTTTTAGATGAGTTTACTTGTATCATTATTATTTTTATCATTTAAATAGTGATGTTGATTCTATTTATTCAAATTATTATATTACTCATTTAATTATTAAAAAATATTGTAGTTTTTGTTAATCATATTTTTCAAGTTATAAAATACATGTGAATTTTTTTATAAAATTCCCAATAATTTTTTCCTATTATATATAATATACGTGTGTGTGAGTTTGGACCAGGCCGCATCGCATGCAAAAATAATTTTGACTCATTTTTCTATTTTGGAGAGATTTCAAATCAATTTCTAGAGTTTGAGAGACTTGTACATCTTGTATTTCGTTACATAGTGAAATCTCTTGCCTCTATGTTTGGTGTGTGATTTTTGCACATCTTCTACTTGCATGTTTAGGAATTGCAATACCTTGGAGCCAATGTATTATAACTATATATTTACAACACATCCACTCAATTTGTCATTATAAGACTTGAACCGAAGATATGAACCATGGGACTACAATACCAATGTTGCACTGTATTGTTTGATCAGGGTTGGCTTTGTGGCCACATAGTCAATGCACTTGGCGTTGAAATAAAACGCAATTTGATGCAGTACACACATGAGAAGTGTAAGATTAAACCTATATTCTCATATAGCCAGCATACAATTACATTTAGAATATGAAAACATTTGAGAGAAGAGAGAGAGGACACACTATCTCCAAATAAGAGAGCCAATGCGGGAAATGAAATCATATGAGCTCTTTCAGAGCTGGATTGTAATTCTTTTTGACCTATACTGTGTACAACTAGCTAGCTAGCAATTTACAACCACCCGACGATGGACTAGGTCTTGAGAGGCTTCAAAGGGCTTTCTGATCTAGTCTTTCGTTCCAATTTAGACAGCGAATCAAGCTGTGAAACCAATCACCCGTTTGATCAGATTTGTTGACGGTTGGAAGCGGATGCTGACTCATACATATCCGAACAGAATCCCCTCTAGAGAGTTGTTGCCTTCTCTTCCCATCAAATGAGACCCATGCATTGCTTCTTGCATTCTCTGGGATCTGGTTCACACACAAATATATATATACATATACAAATCAGAACCTCCAAAAGCGAAGAATATTAATGAAAACAACAATCATGTACATGTTGCCAAAGACAGAAAAAGCATAAGTCAACGAGCTATGTGGAGCAATGAAATCAGAAATTATATAGGAATCAAGAATCTATGACTGCCTCTAAAGAGAGGGAAAGAGATGGTTCAACATTGGGGCACATCAATATATATAAATGAGAAAGTAGAGCTGTTTAACTATATCTTTTTGAAGATATGTAATGGTTATAGAATACAAAATGAGTTCACCTTTAATTCAAGCCGTGCAGAATCAGGAAGTATGACAGGTCTGAATGAGAGGGAATGTGGGCAGATTGGTGTAAATAGCATGCAAGGGACGTTTGGATGCACCTGCATTACAGATTAAACATTATTAAAAACATACATAGATTTTACAAATAAAAAGGCAACATAAATCAAGAATTACTGACAGGCAAAACCAATAATCCAAATTGTTGCACAACATCAATTATGGTCTAAATTTATAACTGAGTCCAAGTTATTTTCCTATTAGGCAGTATCCCATCTTTCATTTATTCTGTCAGTATCCTGCAGCCATATATAACATCAGTAGATGACAGCAAGAAGAGAATAACATCAATAAATTTACAACTCAGTTCAAATCCCAACAAGGACAGAATAAATCAAGAATTACTGATGTTACTGAAGGCAAATGAAAGGAAATTAAACTTGCACTCAGCAATGGAAGAACAAATTGTTAAAGTTGACTCCCAGAACTAACAAATTTATACTGTATCAAGCTTTAATAGGATTTCTAAGGCAACAAAACCCAAAATTTGAGAAGGCTATCTTACCATGGAACCTCCTGCAGCTGTAGAGTAAGCTGTACTTCCAGTAGGTGTGGCTACTATAACTCCATCACCTTGCACCTATCAAATAAATGATTGACAATTTCATAAGGGTTAAAAAAACATTTTCTGATATTTCGAAGTTTAGGTGAGAAATGCAGCAAAAACAGTGGTTGCACTCAAAGATTAGAATAAATTTTGACTTTGTTATTAGCATTGTTGAGCACAAGCAAATATAACTTGGTTTACTATTTGAATGCTAAGGGCTTGGTTGAGGAGATTGACCATACCTTTGTTATAAGGCGGTCATGTTCATAGCATTCAATTTTGGAAAGGTATGGATTAGAACCACGATCAACCACAACCTCATTCAGAATGTCAAATACTTTCCCGGGCATTGCTTTTCCATTTCGAAAAATTTCACAGCGGAGACGCATTCTGAGAGTTATATAAACACCATCCGCTGTGTTGTTCCCATGGATAACTTGTCTTAAGTCCTGCCTATAGCCTTCAAACTGTAAGAAAGGAAATGCAAGATAATTGAAAAGGCAATTTTTTTTGTAAAGGGGGCAAAATGTTCAATCGCAGAGTTGAGTTAAGAAGCTTACAGTATGAGAAGTGAGAAATCCAAGAGATCCAAGATTAAATGATACAACAGGGGGAACAGCACCCCTAAATAAATTTGATGCGTGGAGTATAACCCCGTCCCCTCCCAAGCAGGCTACAAAATCAACCCTCTCATGAAGATCACTGCCAAGGACATAACATAAGCCGTAAGGTGAGAAAAACTCTCAACATAAATTGTATGCAGAACGTAGAAATGCTTTTGCACTTCAAGTCAAGGAGTTCTAGTACCTGGTATCTTGACTATAAAAGGTCTGAACAAACCCAAACCCTGGGATTCTTGCAAATATATCATGTACCTCAGGTTCAACAAGAACATTCATTTTCTCTTGGTGATACAAGAATGAGGCAACCTGCAGTACAGAAAAAAAGAATTATGTTCAATGGCTAAAAAAGAAATATACGAATGATTGAACAAGCACATACAGCTGCTGATGAAGTAATTACACAGACCCTCTTCCAAGTAGGAGAAGCAGACATATAATAGTCAGAATACCTCCGAAAAAATCAACATCTCAAGCTAGACATCCCTCCGTTGGGAAGAGCAAAAAAGTTTGGGTAATACCATAATGGAAATTTCCTGCTCTTCTCAATAGAATCATATAAAATCATAAAAGTGAACTAAACTTAAAAGCATGTACATCAAAACGAATCATTTTAGGGACAGATTAACAGGCCTTCCACCTCACGAGTAACAAGAATGGTTTAGGTCTAGTATAGTAAGTTCATCTCAAGCTGTTTGTCATACATAAAAATCACAGAATGGAAAGCATGAAAAAACCACACAGAGGCCAGATGGTATAGCTAAAACTGATGTTGCCTAAAAACCTTTCGCTCAAGATACTAAAATCTTTTAAATCTTCAAACTGATCTCAACTCAAGTTGTTTAGGGAGAGGAAGCTCGAGTAAGACACGGAAAGTCACACATATCCATGGTTCTATACAGCAGTATCAAGTCACATGTCAACTAGCTCTCGAAAATGACAATAGGATGCATCTGCCAGTTGTAATTTTCAAAAAAATATTTCCAAATTAAAATATCATTAAAGTGCACCATGGGGGTAGGTTGCAGCCCAACCTTGACATGCACAAAATATATATAAAAGTTGAACCGATCTGGTGTTGGTGCACAATAAGTCATACTTTTTACCACCTCAAATAGAGAAAATAAAATCAGTACCAAATATGTTCAGAAAAAGAATATAAATTCAGCATAACTTACCAGATTTAATATGATTGAACACAATTATATGAAGATTAATGAGAACAAAAGGTGGTTTATCATGTCTTCATTGTGATAAAACCAGATGCCAAGAACAATGACTGTAACAAATACTTGCACTGCCTAATACAACATTCCAGTCTCTGCTTTCCCTTCTTTGCATATTTTTTCAGTCCCAATGATACACATATTCTTCCTTGATGTAGTACTTTGCCCTCAAGAGTGCACCATCAAGATCAAGGAGTGGGAAGAAAGAAAAGGGGGGAAACAGGTATCAACTCAATAATACCGACAGATTATATCACAACAAAGAGTATTTCCTTTTGAGTTAATTAGCGAGATTATGAAATGCTACCTCTTTGGCTTCTTCCATAAGTTCTTGGCCCAATTTCTTCAACAACAATACAGTTCTTGGTGTAGTTTTCCACATAAGCATCTGCTGCTGGGTGCTAGGATGAGTGAAAGCTAAGGAAGATTCTGTTACCTTTTCTCTCGTACAAGAGATTCCATCTGTCCGTACTAAGAACATCTGTGCTTTCTTTCTTGACTGCACCCGCACAACACCAGTTGCAGAAGCACACATATTTCCTTCAATAATCCCCAATTCATCATCATCCAAAGCTGTGGAGCCTTCAATATTGTTCCTCTTATCTTCTGTGATGGTTTTCGAAATAAAATTATTATTTAACTCAATGGTTGTACTCGTAGGATCATCCATTTTACTCATGGCATGACTTTCCCTTGTAACAAGTCCATTTGAAGTGCGGAGAGAGGGCACATAGCCATTACGACCTAGATAAGTCCCATTACTTGCAGGAGGACTATGAGGCTCCAAGGATAAGTTCTTACCATTTGGTGAACCATTTGAACTTCTTGTTTCCATAAGCCTTGATTCAGGATTGGTCTCGGTGATGCCACTTCTCTGAACTTCACCATAACAGTTGTCTCTTGATTCAGAGATTGTCTCCAACCTTTTCCATTGATAATTAATGTAAGTGGGAGGTGAAATTTTCTTATTTCTAAAAAACCTGGACATCTCCTTTCTGGAGAATAAATCACAAGGGGGTAGCTGGGACTCAAGAGGGTTGAGTTCAAAGCAGAAGTCCAGTAAAGACTCCACTGCATTGCCATCAAATGTTTGCCTTGAAGTGGAGCCTTTGTGAGAGACGATGCCGTTATAGGCCCCATTACTGCTCTGAGATTTGTTTTCTGTGGCCGGAGAGACCTGGTTGAGAAATTGTACTTTGGCACTATGAGCTGCATCCGATTTCTCTTGCAGAAGTCCATTCCCATTGTCAAAGGCTTTATCTTCTCCAAAGTTTGATGGGATGTGCAATTCTTCCATTCTTCTTTTATCTCGTGATGGAATGTCAGAGGCAGTGACTGAGTGATTGGAAATTAACTGGGATGCATAGCGAGCCATGTATTGCCTCCATCTAGACACCATAGCAAAAGTTCTCTGCATTCCTTCCTTACTGTGGAGATATACGGGCTTTTTGGTTGAATCAGACACTATAGCTGAAAACTTCTCAACCTGCTCCATTGAAGGTACGGTGCCAACTTCAACTGGAAGTTTGACCAGTTCAACTTTTCCAGACAAAATAGCATCGTCAAGTGCTAGTTGATAAAAAATATCATTTACAATCTCTGCTCTGAGATCTACAATTGTTTTAAATCCTTTCTCTATTAGCCACTGCATACCTTCTTCTGTTACCTGACCCCCCTTCCAAAAAGCAGTTTCAGAATCTGTTGGTTCTATATCATCTTTCACTGTGGAGATATAAACTGGATTCCAGTTTGCAAACAACGAATGGCAAGGATAACCATCCCCACGGGGAAAGCCAGAATCATAGCAAATATTCTTCAACCTCTGCAGTTTAGTCCAGACATCCGAGCTTCGAATATCATCAGGGGTCAAATAGTTTTCAAGAGCAACATGTAAGCTCTCACAGTACCTTTTCATCTCACCCCTAAAAATGGCAAGTGGTGGCAGTTTATCATCTATTACATTGAGATCTGAAGCACGAAACGAATTAATAATGGAAGATCTTCCAGAAAGAACATCCTCCCTTCCTTTATTTAGGAGACATACCATGCAACCAAGAACAGACACTACTTTATCCTCCAATAATGGTTTATCCTCTGATTGGAAACTGTACGAAACACTACATTCACCAGTCAATGGATTGCACAACGTCTCCATTAATGCATTATGGAGCCGTTCAGCAGCTCTAAAGATTCTACAATAACCCTCAACTTCTGCAATATCCCCAGGCAGAGGGCCAATCCAAGGCAATTTTGATAAATCACGAGACTGGACAGTCTCCAAAACCAAATAAAGCTGTGTCAGTCTACAATATAGAGCAATCAACTCATAATCTCTTCTACAAAAGGACACATCCACAGCCAAGCACTATCATACGAGGTATATTAAAGGGAAAACAATTTACCATAGCAGGAAAGGGAGGGGGGGAAGCAGTGTTAAAATCCAAGTGTTACGTGCAATATCAGCATGGGATGGAAAGATGCATAATAATAACCTCAAGGAGCATTTTAGTGGAAGCATGTCACAAAAAACTCACAACGCAACTTGAAATTTTTTTAAGCTTAAGAGCAGATTAAAACCAAATTTCAGTTTATTTTATTCAACGACCAGTTTACACAATCAGTGTTCTATAGCCAAACAATTTCAAACTATCTGTTTATAGTGGAAAAACAAGAAAAATAGTCTTTCAGCAAACTAGGATCTTTTAGTGAAGAAGACCGCATCAAGTTTTTGTCACCTGTCATTTTACCAGGCAACGTTAATCAGAACTTTAACACTTCAACTACATTCAACTTACATTGAGATCTTCCACTGCTTTCTACGAAATAATAATAATAATTGTTATTATTATTAGAATTGTTGTGTAAAACAGTTTATCGAGCCAAATGGGAAAATATTAGGAAAAAATTCAAGAAAATTAACCAATTAATGCTTTCAGATATTCAAACTCATAAACAGAAGACACTAGCTAAATTGACGCAAAGAGTAAGCTAGAATGAAGCTGAATAGGGATGATCTCCCTATCTCCTTCTGATCTGGACATTCCCGGCTAAACAATTTGACTTCAGCAGATGGTTCAAGTCCCAATTAATTAAAGGGTCTCAAGAATTTGACCCCATAGGTAAAATTATCAACAAGATAGTTGTAATATGCCCATGCTATATGCCAAACAGCAGGAAATGAAATTTATTGGTAATATAGTACATTAGATTTTGACCCCACAGGTAAAATCAACAATAATCTAGTTGTAATATTGCTGTGCCATATACCAAACAGCAGGAAATGAATTTTATTGGCAATATAGTACATTATAATTCAATTAAAGCATGCACCCTCAAAGATGAAAACAAGCAATGCAATCATTCTCCCCCTATTGAGTCAACAAACATCTAATTGCAACCCAATTATCAAAATCTAAACACAATCCAATTATCAAAATCTAAACAATACCCTCAATTGAAACAAAGCAAATATAACTAAAAAAAACTTACACCCACAGCTTAGTCAGTCATTTCATCAAACACATTTGTACACCTACAAAGACACACACATATGTATATAGAACACAATGACAAAATCACCTGGGAGTCTAAACTAATGTTCGCAGAGACGGAGCTCGAGAGCTCCGCACTGACGATGGAGATGAGACGACGCCGTTCCGACAGCCGCACCTTCTTCTGCAACAAGAACTCGAATTTGAACCCGGAAATTTTGGTGTTCCTGAATTGGTGAGACTTGAGGGAACAAAGACGGGTTGCTCCGGCAGCAAAGGATTGAGTCATATCGGCGGTGAATAGGTGGCATGAGCAACAATACGCCATGCCACCATAGAAATCGTGGGTCTAATGTGTATATAGATATATGTATATGCGTATGTTTAATCTATATAGGAGTATATATAGAGAGAGATATATTGTTCTTATTTGGATTTTGGATGAATTGTGTTTCTTTTGTGGATAATATCGTTGTTGGCGGGTGATAGCATTATAATTGGTGGTGTGTTTATTCTGTTTTGTTGTATTCTCATCTTTCTTGTTTCAGTTTTCATTTTGATCGATTTCTGTGTTGCTTTGATGTGATGTGATGTTGCTGTCAGGATTGGAAAACAATTATTTATTTATTTTTTGTTTTTGTAAAATTTCTTAAATAATAGAGTAGTAGTTCTTATAAATAGTTAATTTTAAAATACTTAATATTTGAACATGTAATGTCCTAAAATTTAGAGGAAATCTGGATTTGAATCTTTTACTTCTTATTTTTAGAAGTCCAGAGGTTAAGGAATATGTTTAAAAAAAAAAAAAAATCAAATATAGTTTTTATTTTATACCGGAGTATTATTTTTCTAATTTTATACATTTAGTAATTTATAATTATTTTTATTTAGATTTATTTTTACATTACAAATTTGACCAGCTAATAAAAAATTCTCGGTACGCAGCTGGTGTTTTGGACCTCAATGAAAGGGAGCTGAGAATTTTTTATTTATATTAGTACTCCATTATTTTATGATGCACGTTTTTTGAGTTTTGAGTTTTGATTTTTTTTTTTTTCTTTTCACTTTAGTTTTTTTGGGAAAGGGAGGTACGTTCACGCGCACTTGAGAACGCGTGTTTTACATTGTCACCAGTGAAGTTGGACCAGGCTCTGCGTCAGCCTTGTTTTGAGCCCATCCTTGAAATAGCCTGAGATGAGACCAGGCCCAATATGTGCTGCGGAAAATGCAGATGACTGCATAAGCATTTTGAAAGTGACAAAATTTAAATCACCCGTAATGGAATTGAGAGAATTAGTGATTTGTGTGATTCGAACGTGATTGGGTAAATTCGTAGCCCATAGCAATGGCCGGAATAATGATTGATGCATGGCCGGCTTCCGATCTTAGATTAAATCGAATCATAGTTATTAGGGCAGAGAAATAGATCGAGAGAACAAGAAATACTTTCAAGGATAAAGTACAGCATCACTGTGGAGGGAAAAAATCCCCTCTAATAAGATTACTCCACGTCATCACGGATGCAAATTTGTCTTTCAAAGGCCCGTCATGCTCAAGCCCAAATTGAATGTATTCTTAGCCCATGATCACTGTTATTTGCCCTCCAACCTTTATCCAGGCCGAATCAAAAGGTTATCAACCCGATTTGCTAATATCAACATCCGGCCCGTTATTCAAGCCCAGCCGATTAAAGGTATAACCAGCCCAGTTATTCAAGATTGGACAAATCCTATAAGTTGAAGGATTTACCATAGAAGGAAGGCTTTGCAATAGGAAGTTCTACACAAAGCAAATTCTGTGCATGGAAAATTAATAATGGAAAGAATTCTAATTGTAAAGAAAGTCATACATGGAAAGAATTGGAGGACAAGCAATGCGAGTCCTACCATAATTCTACTACTTTTTTATGTATAAATAGAGGCCAAGACCTCCAATAAAAGGGATCCAGGCATCCAAGCAATTCTACGCTTTTTTATATACTGTTCTTGGTTATTTTTATTGCTGATTGAGTGAGTTGTTTTATTTCTCTTAATTGTTATTGGTTGAGTGAAATTTTGCACCTACACTTTGGCGCCGTCTGTGGGAATCGGAGAAAACACAAAAGTCACTCCAAGTCCCAATTCCAAAATTCAACAACGTGACGAAGTCGAAGGAGAGTATGGATTTGAATCCAACCCTTTTCAGACATTCGAAGCTCGTGTTCCACACACGACCAAAGGATTTTCAGACAACCCAACGCACCGTGTTCCTCACACAGCCGAAGGATCTACCGAAGGATATAGATCCGGCCAACACATTTTAATCACAGCTCAACACCCATTGGTGATGGGTTTCTAATAAGATAAGTTTCCCATGTCAAGTCTCAACTTGATTCTTATAGTTAAATCCTTGTTAAAAATTAAATACATATTATACATATATACATCATTATATATATATATTTCCACATGATACATCCAGCACTGTGACGAGTCTGATGTCACAATAGACAATTCGCAGTTTTTGTCAACATTTTTAGCCTTAATTTTAGTAGATTTCTGGACACAAAAGTGAATCACAGCATCATTGTTTTTACAAATATCATTAATCAATCTCTGATTTAAGCTCTAAGGTGGAACAGAATCCATTCGAGCCGGATGCCATCAAGCCCAGCCACAGTCGCTGGCCACCATCGTCCGTTTCACCGACCGAGGTCAACCGAGTTATCGTCGCTGCACCGCCATCAGGCCCATGCTCGTCGTCATTCTCATTTGATCTGTCACGAATCGCCTTCATCTAAGCCAAACCGTCGCTTACAGTTGCACAAGTTGCCATCACCCCAGCGACCTAGATCGTCACTACCGGCCAAGCCCGCCGGTGCACCGCCGAAAGTTCATAGTCATCTTTCTTCTCTCTATCTTTGCACAAACCACATTCTTCTCTCTTACTAGTATGGACTCAATCAAGTCCATCAAAACCTACGGCAAGGTCAGCGACGACCAAGCATTTCGGCAAAAGACCCACAATCATGTCATCTACCTCGTAGTCGCCGCGGTCTTTCTAGTGGCTGTCATCGCCGGCGTCGTCATTGGTGCTAAGAAGTCTAACTCCGATTCTGATGAAGTTTCTGCTTCTCCGATAACACCTTCCGCGTCTGTCAAGGCAGTGTGTAACGTGACCCAGTACCTAGATTCTTGCATCAAGAGCATTGGTAGCAGAGGAGACCACCACCGACCCGAAAGAGATCTTCAAGCTGTCTCTGCACATGGCTCTCAACGAGCTCGTGAAGGTGTCGTCGTTGCCTGAAGCATTGCTCTCCAAGATCAGCAACGAACGAGCCAAGAAAGCGTTGATTGTTTGTCAAAGCGTTTTTGAAAACGCTTTCGATTGCCCAACGATTCGATATCCTTAATGACGGGGTAAACGACGACAAGAAATTACTGTCACTGTCCAGAATTGAGGACGCGAGGACATGGTTGATCTCGGCACTTACATGTCACGACAATTGCCACCACTTTGTAGAACGAATTGAACGGTTTGATCGAACATTCGGTCGAATTTTCGAGCAATAGTCTGGCGATTGTGACTAAGGTTTTGAGGATTCTTTCGGATTACAGCATTCCAGCAATGGACTCTCATACTAAAAGCATACTTTTTCTTCAATTATTATTGTTTTCATCATCGTCATCATTCTGGTTTCAATTTCAAACCAGACCCAGCTTTGAACTTCCACTTTTCAGCGATTATCCTCTGTCAATCAGCTACTTTTTATCTTCAATGCACTTGATGATAGTCAAGTTCAGAGGATTTGTTGCTTGGAATTTCACAAACTCTTGGCGATTATATGGTTACAAGTTCTGGAATTTGAGCTAGGGTGTGAAACAAGTTTTTAGCTCTGGCATGGCCAAGAAAGTTCTTGCACACAAAAGACATGTTGGTGGGTTGGAGGCTCCTCGAAATAATTTGGATCTACTAGCGGAATCTTCGTAGGACTATTATTTTGTTACAGAGTATACCGGAGAATAAACATTCTACATTGCAGAGTATTGGTGTGTAACTAGTAGAGATGAGCAGATGATTGTCACCACCGGCCAAGCTCGCCGGTGTACCGCTGAAGCTGCTTCCTCACAATCGGACCGGAGCTCATCCCAACCGAACCACCTGTCTGCACTCTGTACCGCTGCCTCCATCATCGCCGGCCGCAAATCCTCACCAAGCTCTTGGATTTGTCTCGCCGGCGGTGTTCCCTCTCCAAGCTCGTGGTTCTGTCTTGTCGGCGGTGTTCATCTCACTAGCTGTCCATCTCTGCAGTGAGCTTGTCGGCCATATTCATCCTCGCCGAGCCATCGCCCACAAGCGGAACAGCCCGTCGTCCATCACATCTAAGCTTCTCCTCGCTCACTTCCTCTGTTGATTGCTACCTTTATCAGTTATATATATATATATATATATATATAAACTAATAGCTACTGTTTGGCTGCAAAGGTAAAACTATCCCAATTTAGGATTAGTTCAGAACTAAACCCGCTTTGTAACCTCATTTGAGAACTAGTTCTGTGGTAACCTAGTTCGGGGAAAAAAAAATCGAAGTGGGGACTCATTTTGGAGCACTCAAAGCTTTGTCTTCCAAAATAGCTTGGTCTTCCAAGAACCTGAAGAAGGCGGTCTTTTAGGTCGGCAAAGTTCTTCCTAGCATTCTATTTTTTTAAGGCTAACGGCGAAATAAAGGCTTTTAGAAAATTTTTAAAAATGGGTTGCCGCTCAACGCCACAAACTTTAGCAGACTCATCGGCCGGGCATTTCAAACATCCCAGGCCTTTTCAGACGCGAATCTTTCTATCTCTCTAATCAGATAAGTTTCCTAACTTTGATTTTTACAATCTGGGTTAAGCTTTTCATGATACGAATTTTTGTTAAAAATACATATTATATATATTTGCACATGATGCAATCATATTTTGTTATTCATGTAGACGCTCATTATATATAAAGATTTATGACTTAGTTTAAACCAAATTGCTTATTCAGTATACTCTATTGATTTATAATCCTCTACGGATTCATCCCTCTCTCCTTCATCAAGGATTTTCAGCATTGTAATTTTAGTTATATTCACTAGCTGTTTTGCTCACACTTTGAGCAAAATTTTAGATTATACCCATTAGTTGTTCACTGAAGGTTGATAATTAAACAGAGCCTTAGGACCACATCACTTGATATTGTTGGTTCAGACCCTTCAGAGGGATGCACAACTTCATCACTACTCAACTAAAAGAAGATTTTGACCCTCTACATTGACTTCTGAAATTTACAATTGAATAAAGATCTGAGGCCAGAGGCATTATTGAATGCACGAGCTGTGCTAGTTAGTCTATTACTTGAAGTCCTAAAATATTACATACATTGAGTAATTTCAATATACTTAATAAACAAGAGCGAGTAAATACTTATTGCTAATTAGAATTTCTAGTTACAAATTCAATTGTGATATATAAGAAGTTCTTAAAATTCTTACTTTCCATCAATCAGTTGCTATATGCTACGTGTCATCATTTTGCATGCTACTGATAACTTTGCTTACA